CTTATTCCCACTCTTATACTTAACAGCGATCACTTTTCAGTTAAGTTTCAGCACTTAAGAAGAATTGTGTATTGATTACAGTATTCAACCAAAAGTATTAAGTAGAACAAACAAACAAAAATACTAAGAGGGATAACATATTAAGCTGCTCATCAACAGTCAGGGTGAGGGCTGATCAAGTCACCGTTTCTCATAGTGTTCATTTCACTTTCACAGGTTTCCTTTTTGGTGCTCAGTTAGTTGTCACCTATCAAGGAGAACAAGTGGTATTTGTCCCTTTGGGATTGACTTATTTCACTCAGCATAATGCCTTAGATTTCTTGTAAATTTCCATCTTGAGTTATTTGATTCAATGCTTGTTTAAGAATGCTTATTTAATTCTTATACATTTGTGACATTTCAAAGTTTCCTTCTGATTGGTTTCTAGGTATTTTTAATTTTCTTTTATTTAATTTTATTTAACTTATAGTAATTTTATATGTTTCATATATACATATTTGGGAACATAGTGAATCTTCCCACCATCCCTCCTTCATGCCTTCACTCCCAACCTTCTTTCTCCTCTCTCTCCTGTTCCCACTCCTAATTTTTACGAAGATCTATTTTCAGTTTACTTTATACTGATAAGGATAACACTATAGTCAGTAAATAGTTCAACAAATAGCATGAGGAATAAAAAAACTCTATTCCTTAACAATAGTGATGAGCTGTAAACAATCATTAATCTCAAAATATCAATTTCATTCCTATATATCATATTTTAGATATTCTGTCAGTTACCACAGATTTGGGAAAACATATGGTATCTGTTTTGGTGGGACTGGCTAATTTCACTAGGTATAATGATTTCCAGTTACATCTATTTTGTTGCAAAAGAAGGATTTAATATTTTTAACCTCTTAATGCTATTCCATATTGCATATATGCCATAATTCTGTTTTCTAGTCATTAGTTGATGGATGTCTGGGTTGATTCCATATCTTCTGTACTTTGAATTGAGCTGCAATTATAGATAATTCTTTCATATGATTTCTTTTCATCAGGGTAAATACCCAGAAGTGGGATTACTGGGTTTATGGTAGATCTATTTTCAGCTTTCTGAGGTATCTCCATACTGTCCCCTACCATGGCTGTACTAGTTTACATTCCCACCAATAGCAGACTAGGGTACCTTTTTCATCACAACCTCACCAGCATTTATTGTTTGTTGGTTTCTGTATGAGTCATTCTAACTGGAGTGAGGTGAAACTTCATTGTGGATTGGATTTGCATTTTCCTGATACCTAGTGATCCTGAGTATTTTTTCATGTGTCTATTGGCCAACTGAATTTCCTCTCTTGAAAAATGCATGATGTAATCCCATTTATCAACTTTGGCTTTGATTCCCTGTGCTTCCGGGGACTTTTCCAAGAAGTCTTTCCCTACACCAATGTCTTGCAGAGTTTTATTTGAAATTTACTTGTTTGAAAGGCAGAGATACTGAGAGGCAGAGGCAGTGAGAGAGAGAGAGAGGTCTTCCATCTCTTGGTTCACTCCCCAAATGGCTACAATGGCCAAAGCTGTCAATCCAAAGCCAGTAGCCTGGATCTTCTTCTGGGTCTCCCATGTGGGTACAGGGGCCCAAGAACTTGATCCATCTTCTACTGCTTTCCCAGGCCATAGCAGACAGCTGGACTATATAGTATATGTACTATATATATAATAGTATAATGTATTGTATATAGTATATAGCATATATAGTATATACAATATAAAATATACATGTATATATACAATATATATTATATAATGTATATTATATATTGTATAATATCATATATAATATATAATTATACAATATATGTATATAATTATACAATATATGATATATAATATATAACATATATAATATATAACAGATGCAACATATATATATAAAATATGTAACATATGTATATCCCTTCAGATGCCACGAACTTATTTGCATTTCCAGTGGGGACAGGGAATCACTCAATAATTTCTCAGTTCTTTAAGATTTTTGAGGACGAGTGTTAATTTTCTAGTTCCTGCCACAAAACTACTTAGTTCACACAGTGAATAGATGATGGTGAATACATGACACTTGTTCCTATTTCTGGTTTGTTACACTTTGGGGAGACTGAGTCCTCTGCCCTCCTCCCCTCCCTTCCCCTTCTCCCTCCTCTCAGCTCCCCTCCTCCCTACTACTCCCCTCCTCTCCTCTCCCATTCCTCTCCTCTCCTTTGTTGCTGATTGCTTACTTTCTTAGATTTTCCTGTATTCTCTGAAAGATTTTCAGAATACAATACCATGCTGATGCATTTGCCATGTGACTTCAATCTCTCCCTTATTTTTAAAATAGAAAAATCAACTCAAAATGGATCAAGAATATAAATCTATGACCCAATACCACCAAATTACAAAAAGAAAATATTGGGGAAACTGTAAGACACTGGTGTAGGCAAAAACTTCTTGGAAAAAGCCCAGAAGCACAGGCAATAAAAGAGAATATAGACAAATGGGATTCCACTTAGCTAAGGATCTTCTGCACTGCACAGGAAATGCCCAACAAACCAAAGAGGCCACTGACAGAACGGGAGAAAGTGTTTGCACACTGTGCATCTGATACAGGATTAGCATCCAGGATCTACAAGGAGCAATCCTCAGCCATCCCGCTGCTGGGAATAAACCCTAAGGAAATGAAATAAGCACAGGAAAGTCTTTTGTACCCCTGGGTTTATTACAGTACAATAGCTAAGATGTCCAATCAACCCAGATGTTTGTCAAATGATGACTGGATAAATTACATACAATTTATAAGCATGATGGAATATACTATATATACTATATGTTATATACTATATATATATATATATATCTGCCTTTCAAGTATGAGAAAATAAATATAATAGAAAAATAGTAGTATCAGTAGTAATGTTTTAAAACCCATTGAAGCCGGCGCCACAGCTCACTAGGCTAATCCTCCGTCTTGTGATGCCGGCACACCGGGTTCTAGTCCCGGTCGGGGTGCCGGATTCTGTCCCGGTTGCCCCTCTTCCAGGCCAGCTCTCTGCAGTGCCCAGGGAGTGCAGTGGAGGATGGCCCAAGTCCTTGGGCCCTGCACCCCATAGGAGACCAGGAGAAGCAGCTGGCTCCTGCCTTCGGATCAACGTGGTGCGCCGGCCATTGGAGGGTGAACCAACGGCAAAAGGAAGACCTTTCTCTCTGTCTCTCTCTCTCACTGTCCACTCTGCCTGTCAAAAAAAACCCCATTGAGTACAGTAGAAAAATGTGATCCCATATTGATATAATAAGCTGATAATGTAATTAGGATTGATACATATATTTATATATATATAAAATCAAAGCAATTATTTGAAAACATTTGTAAACTGATAATGAAACAACAATTTAGTAATAAAGAGTAGTGGACGCACTCTGATCAAAATGATGTTTATCAGTAATAAACTAAATAGGTCAAAGTGAATTTTATCAGTACTACAACAAATTAAAATTTGTAAAACTTTTTAGATTACAATGAAGCAAATAGAGGAATAATCTTGTGATGTTGTTGCCAAGATTCCTAACCTCAGTCTAATAATTAAGACTTTTTATTTTCACCAACACAAAAGGTGGGACAGTGTGTGAAGCACTTTGCCAGCAAGTACAAGACTTTTTGGAAACTCAAACAGAACACTTAGGCTGGTAGACTAAGGAATCGTGAGGACTAAATGCCTGTGCTTAAATTGGATCCTGTTAATATGAAAAGGCAATATCGTGATGTTTGGGGGAATTTGAGTGACATCTCTGAATTAGATCCTAGAATTGTATTGTAAATTTCCTAATTTTGAAGGACCTGATTTATGTGGGAGAATTCACATCTATGTAAGAACTGTAAAAATATTTAGAGTTATCAGATCATAGGCCAGTGCCTATATATATATATATATATATATATATATATACCCACCTGTGTGTGTGCGTGCATGTGGGTGTAGGTGTTCTATGCAGTTTACCACATTTGTATTCATGGAGCCACATCACGGTCGTGAGATATGACTGTATGTTCGCTCCATGGCTCCCTACTCTCATCCCTTTCTAAATATGTGAATCCCCTCCTGCTCCATTCCTAAATCCTGGAGACCACTAAACTGTTCTTCATCTCTTCAGCTACATGTGTTCATAAGTCATATATGAAAGAAATAATAATACAGTGTGTATTTCTGTAAGATTAGCTCCTGTCAGCACCCAGCCAAGTTTTTGTGACCTATATCAAGTCATTGCATCATCAACATTCATCGCATGAATGTGTTCTAATTAGTTAACCATTCAGTGTGAAGGGCATTTGGTTGGCTATCAACTTTTAGCTATCATTAAGTCTGGATGAATTTTCAAGAAGAAGTTTAAATTAGGTTGAAATTTACATTTTAATTCTCTAGGATGTACCCAAAACTGAAATTGCTAGGTCATATTGAGAGAGAGCCGATTGTTGTTTTAAAAACTTCCAAAAAGGTTTTCCCGAGTAGATGTAACATTTGACATTCGCAGCCATAACATATAAATGATCCCCTTCTCTGCATTGTCAGTAGTGCTACCATTTTAGTTTCAGACATGCTGTTAGCTGTGCATTAATATCTCATTGCAGTGTAGTGCCCTCTTCTCTAGGAATAAAATTGTTAAGCATATTTAAGTTGTTTACTTGGCTGTAAAATCACTTTAGTAAAGTCTGTTTGTATCATGCCATTTTCTAGTTGAGTTCCTGGTTTTTTTCAAATGTTGACTTTTTAGATATTTTATGTTTGGCTTACTCATGTATTTTGTTGTATGTATCATTCACATGTTTTTTGTCCAAGTCCATAATTTATTTTGTCTCAGACCAAGAATTTTTATTTTTAATTTGAAGGATCTACTTTTTTCCTTGCTTGGATAAGTGGGGAGAGAAGTTGGAGGGCTGACTGGATGGGTGCCCTGGGTTAGAATAAACGTGAGAGCCCCAAAGACACCAACATTTCTGGCAGAATGGGCAGCAACACCTTATGGCAAAGGTGTACAGCACAGGAGTGTCAGCCCCAGGCTGTGCTGGGTGGATGAAGTGGAGGAGTGTGAGGAATGAGTTCGGATTCAAAAATTATGCCAGAGACACTTTTTAGAAATGCACAGTGTCTTCAGAAATATGTTTCCTCTACAGAAAAAAAAAGACCAGTCAGCTTAGTGGGAACCCGTCCCTAGTTCCCTATTTCTTCACACATGGACATCTGTCTTTCTTTTTGTAAAAAAAAGATTTTATTTATTTATTTGAGAGGTAGAGTTACAGACAGAGACAGAGAGAAAGGTCGTCCTTCCTCTGGTTCACTCAGTAAATGGCCGCAACAGCTAGAGCTGTGCTGATCTGAAGCCAGGAGCCAGGAGCCAGGAGCCAGGAGCCAGGAGCCAGGAGCTTCTTCCTGGTCTCCCATGTGGGTGCAGCCTACTATGTACAGTGCTGGGCCCAACTTACATTTTTCTTTTCCTCTGTTTCCTAGTGGGTGATCTTTGTAAACGAAGTTCCTAAGGGTCAGTTTATAGTGTTTCCTTTTCATGTGGTTATTGCAAACCGTTCACGAGAAAGAAGCTGTGCCTTCCAAAAGTGCTTTACAAATTTCACAAGCACCAGTTTCAGCATGAGCAGTGGGTTTGTGTGTGTGTGTGTGTGCACGTTTTGTCCTGTTTTGTACTGAATAGCTGCTACACCTGTAGTTGACTAAGACAGCTCTGAACTCTGAAGAGCGAGCATCTCTCTGCTTCTGTACTTCCCTCACGGCCACTAAGCAAGAGCACCAGAGGCATCAGCTGGAGAAAGGGTACGACCCAGAAGCTGCATAGGACACAGCTGTGAGCATTGGCTCACCCTCGAGGATTTATATATCCCAAAATCTCAGGGTGAGAGGGAAAGGGGTCTGTGGGGAGAGCAGAGTGGGGGGACCAAGCCTGAGCCAGGCTCCAGGGCCCCCAGCACGGGGAGAGACCTCAGACAGGTTGCATCTGACCGTGTTCTGCAGCTTCGCGCAGCGAGGGACTCATCTCGGTGGGGATGTGGGGCCATATCTAAGGGGGCTCCTGTTCAGCCCACATAAGGGTGCTAGTGGTCCAGAGAGAAGGGGCAAGGAGGCCTGCCCAGCACAGCCACTAGCCTGGGAGCCTCAGAGGCTGCTCTGTGCTCCGCGAGAATCACCAAGACACCAGCTGCAGCATGGCCGGGGGTCAGTCCTCAGCACGGGGCTGGTATCTGGGAGCGACTCAGAGCAGCTCAGTTCCAGGCTGCAGTGGCCACCTCAGGGGCTTGTGGAGTCCCTTTCTCCTCCCAAGATGGGTCCTGGCCAGATCTGCCTGTGATGCTGAGCCTGAGACTTGCCCTCTGCCTTGGGGACGTCCCCTCTGTATCAGGGCTTTGCTAGTCTGCCCAGCAGGGACCCTTGTGTGGCTACTAGGAATGAGGGTAGCTGCACCCCATCTTGGGGGAGTGGGAACACTGAGCCAGGAGCTTCCTTGGACGTGAGCTCTCCCAGGCGGCCTCACCCCATCTAGGAAGCACTGCTGAAGCCGCTCTGCGCGTAGATGCGTGCGCACACTCCTTTGTTGTTCTGTGGGAAGAGGCAGAGCAGCTGAAGGCCTGGGACCTGTGTCCCTCCTTTCTCTGGACACCACCCATGAACACCCCACAAAGGGCAGCACACCAGCAGGCTGGAGGGCTTACCTGCCAGATGGACACTCACCTGACCCCTGGCCTTCTGCAGAGCTCACACCTCAAGAGCGGCCCTGGCTGGCACTTGTCTCTTGTCAGCCCCAGGAAGGGTCAGGTCCTTTATTCAGTCCCCACTCACGGGACACAGGGCCCCTGGGCAGGGGGAGAGAGACACCTCTATTTACCAGGTGCCTCTTTAGTTTCGGGAACACACACTTTAGGATATGGTCATGGTGATATCGGAGTCTCTCCACCTTGGGACAACTGGTCTTACAGAATCCTGAGAAACCCCCAGCACCCCCACAAAAAAATAATTAGAGCTTGATTGCAGGAGGTGGGGCAATTTGGCATATAGCATCAGGGAGTCCTGAGTACCAGGAGTAGGGGAGGCTCTGTAGGGTCAGCCAGGAGCTGACCTGGCCAAGGCAGTTAGGAGAAGGGAAGACACTGGAGTCGAGGCTTGGCTGAGCTGCAGGTGGCTACTGGGGGGTGGGGCATGGTCATCCCTTGGGTACAAGAATGAGAATGACAGAATCAGGATGGGGAACTGCCATCTGACAGTGGCCCACTGTGTGAAGTGACAGATGGGAGGGTGAAAGGGACATAAGTGTCACCTGGCCAGGAAGGAATCTGAGGGCTGTGGGTACAGCACACAAAGGGCAGTCAGGGATGGCTACAGTGCCCTTGGTGATGGGAGGACAGAGGGTCTGACTTGGTAGAGAGCTGCTCTCTGCCAGCCCTGTTTGTCCTGGACACTGAGGAATCGGATGGGGGTGGGGGGTGCATTCGCCCTGGTTGAGTGCCCCGCCCCCCCCCTCCAAGGCTGGCTGTGTGAGGCCCCCTACCCTGCATCGCATGCCTGTGGTTGGTTACCCGCTGGGTCAGGGCCCAGAACGCATCTTCCTCCTCTAGAAACATGAGCAGTGTGGCCGCAACCCAGTTCACACCCTGCCTGTAGCCCACCTCCTGCAAGGGCCAGTGACGTCATGGAAGGGCATCACCTGGCAGAGCTGCTCTCCCTGGGATGCTGACCCCACCTGCGAGCGCTGACCTCACTTGGGAGGCATCACTTCCTGTTCTCACAATGTGTGGTCAGCTCTAAGGAGAGCCTTGTGCCAGGCCCCACCCCTCTGTGGTTCCGTCCACATCAGTCAGGCCTCACCGTGGACTTGGATCTCTGTGACCTGGTCAGCTGGCCCTCCTGGGAACAGGGCCTGGAACAGCACCGTGGATTACTCACGTTGTCAGATGCAGAGAATGCCAGGAGCATGTGAAACAGTGCCTGCGGCCTGCGAAAGAGGAGAGAGAGGACTGTTCTGCTCCCTTGTTGCCCGCCGAGCCTGCTTGGTTTTGTCTGACCGATCCTGCCGGCAGCACTGAGCACTGACTCAAGTTCTCTGTCAAGAGCAGTTGGGTCTCGGAGCAGCTGGGTGTTCCTACAGTTTTCTGGTCAAATCTGCCTCTGATGACAAGGGTCACCTGGGGGTAGCTCATGCCTTCCCGTTTTCAGTCCAGTGGGTGTTTTCGAGGTTTGCACACAGGGACATGTGCTCTGTGAGAGGCTCAGTCCAGGCCTTTGGCCCATGTGGAGTCTCCCAGCCCCAGCCCAGCAGCTCCAGGAGCAGCTCCTTCCTCCTTGTGTCCCCTCAGGAGTCACACTCTCCCACTCCCCCACAGCCCCTGGTAACCATTGCTTTCTCTTCTGTCCCCATGGCTTGGCTTTTCCCAGAATGCCCTATGACTGGAGTCCCAGCATGGCGGCTTTCGGGTCTGGCTTTTCCCAGAATGCCCTATGACTGGAGTCCCAGCATGGCGGCTTTCGGGTCTGGCTTTTCCCAGAATGCCCTATGACTGGAGTCCCAGCATGGCGGCTTTCGGGTCTGGCTTCTTCCATGGTGTACTTCAGTGGCGTCTTCCTCCTTCTCACCCACGCCTGTTTCAGTTCCCCTGCTGAGCTCATTGAGGTCACTTCCAGTTTGTTCTGACTATGGATGAAACAGGGAACCTCGCCTGCAGGATTTTTGTGGAGTTAAGATTCCACAGTGGTTGGGTAATAACTACACACATGTCAGGGTCGGATGGTGGTTGGATGTTGGGCCTTAGAAGAAACAGCCACACCCTCTTGCAAAGGGGCCGCCCATTCTGCATTCCCACCCAGCCATGAGTGAGAGATCCCCCTGCCCCTCGCTGTTAGCCCAGTGTTGTCAGTGTTTTGGGTTTAACCACTCAGACGAGCCATGGCATCTCACTGTGGTCTTCACGTCTCCATGGTGGCTACCTTTTCGTGTGTGTATTTGATGAAGTGTCTGTTCTTTGATGGTTTGGTGTCCATTTGCAATGAGCAGGGAGTCTAAATAAAGCGTTTTTATTGAGAGTTAAGAGTTCTTTATATATTCTGGATTCAAGTCCTTTATTAGATGTATGTGTGCAAACATTATCTAGTGCTCTGTAGCTTTTCTTTCTTTCTTTCTTTCTTTCTTTCTTTCTTTCTTTCTTTCTTTTTCTTTTTCTTTTTCTTTGACAGGCAGAGTGGACAGTGAGAGAGACAGAGAGAAAGGTCTTCCTTTTGCCGTTGGTTCACCCCACAATGGCCACTGCAGCCGGTGTGCTGCAGCCAGCACACTGCGCTGATCCAAAGCCAGGAGCCAGGTACTTATCCTGGTCTCCCATGCGGGTGCAGGGCCCAAGCACTTGGGCCATCCTCCACTGCCTTCCCAGGCCACAGCAGAGAGCTGGCCTGGAAGAGGGGCAACTGGGACAGAATGTGGCACCCCGACCGGGACTAGAACCCGGTGTGCTGGCGCTGCAAGGCAGAGGATTAGCCTATTGAGCCGTGGTGCCAGCCTGTAGCTTTTCATTTCATAATCTTCACAGTGTCTTTTATAGAGTGGAAGTGTTTAAATAAAATTCCTCTGATCAATTGGTTTCATTCATTTTCTGTGCTTTGGGTCTTCATCCAAATCCCATCACCAATTCAAAGCAGGTTATTTACTCTGTTTTCTTCTAGAAGTGTTATACATTGAGTTAGATTTGTGATCCATTTTGAATTTGTGTAGTTTTCTTTTTTAAAGATGTATCTATTTGCTTGAAAGGCAGAGTTACAGAGAGGCAGAGGCAGAGAGAGAGAGAGAGAGAGAGAGAGTCCTCCCCAGATGGCCGCAACAGCTGGAGCTGCACCAATCCCAAGCCAGGAGCCAGGAGCTTCTTCCAGGTCTCCTACATGGGTACAGGGACCAAGCACTTGGGCCCAGGCTATAGCAGAGAGCTGGATCAGAAGTGGAGCAGCTGGGACTCGAACCGATGCCCAGATGCGATGCCAGCACTACAGGCGGTTGCTTTACCCGCTATGTAACAGCGCCGGCCCCTTTGTATAGTTTTTACAGAGGGAATGTGTAGAGCTTGGTTTCTGCTCATTGTAAATTAGATCATGTCATCTGTGAATAAAGACAGTTTTGTTTTTTCTTCAGAACTGTCCACATTTTGTCTTTCTCTGTTCTTGTTCCCTGGTGGGACTTGCAGTACAATGTGGGGAGGGAACATTCATCTTCCACTCCAGATTTAGGAGAAAGCGTTCAGTCTCAGCACAAAGCGGCAGTGGTGGGTTCACAAATCCCCTTGCCTAGGATGAGTGTGTGTTCACACCTATTCCCTGTTCACTGGGGGTCTTTGTCATGAGCAGGTCATGGACTGTGTCAAAGGCTAATTCCAGCATCTCCTGACAGGTGCTCCCCTTGCGGTTGTTTTACAATGGAGAACTAGTAGCTGGGTGGATCTGTACATGTGGGTCCACTCTTACATTCCTGGATGACTCCTGCTTGGTCTCTATTTCAGGTCTCGTGAGATTCAAAGTCCTAAGTCCTTAGTGTTCACACCATTTGGGACGTTGATCCCAGTCATACCACAGAAAACTGCTGTCGAGTTTCAAGTCAAGTGCAAACCTCCACAGTGGTCAACCCAACAGGTGCTTCTCTGTCGTCCTCTCTGACTTGAGAGGCCCACACTCCTGCCTCAGCTTTCAGGGCCCTATCCCGTGCTGGGCTCCTGGTCGCCCGACACTGCACAAGGAGGCAACCGCCCCCCGTCAACCACTAGAGGTTTGCAGTGACATCTGCACCCTGGGAGCCGGCTGTGTAAGCACAGGCCCACTGGAAGCAGCCAGGGCCCTGTTGTCCATTGCAGACTGAGTGGTGCTGCTCTAGAGCACCACAGTGGCTTGAATGGGGATCCCTGCATCCCCAGGGCCCACGTTCAGAGCTCCTCGCCTCCCAGCCCTTGACAGGCAATGCTGCTGAGTTTAAAACTCACAGAGATACAGACTGCACAGGGTGTGGCAAGGACAGCTGGGAAGGCCATCAGACTACGGTCCCAGGAAGGCCATCACACACATGTGTAACCTGCGAGGAACCCTGGGCTCCTGGGCTTCTTTCCCTGTTACTCTGCAGCTGGGCAGCTGGCAGTTGCTGGACATTTGGCCTGGCGGGTGTAGGCTCTCACATCAGGAAGCTGAGCAGGCTCAGCACTGGGCCTCAGAGGTCAGCAGTCAGCAGTGTCACTGCCACACACTCCGTGAGTCAAAGTCACCATGAGGTTACCTGGGATCAGGCTGGCTGAGAGCCCCTCTCACTGAAGTGACACTGACATCTTGTAGAGGAAATGGGTCAGGACCCTAGTGGTGGAGACCAGTGGCTCTCCCAGAAGACACTATCCCTGCCAGTCTAGGCTCCCCTCCATGTTAGCCTGGGCCAGCCCCTCTTCTCCTCCTCCTCTCTCTTCTTGAGCAATCTTCCCTAGGCGAGGGCCATTGAAGAGCAGATCCCTGTGTCTCCAGCCTCGGGTCAAGCAACCAGCTGCAGTCTTCATACAGAGCCGTGTCTGTTCACTCCAACCTGGGAGTCATGTCCCTCGAAGAGTCCCTAACAGTGAGTGGCTTTGCCCCATCCCCAGTCACTACATAAAACCCAAACTTCTGATCAGAAACACCATTCAGAGATGGTAAGGCAGTGGGGGTATGTGGACACTGACTGGGTATTGACTGCAGCCGCATTGCAGGTGTGATGAGCATATTCTGGACTTGCATAAGAAAAATGGATCCCAACTCATTAGATGCAAACCAAGACACATGTAGAGAACCAGATACCATATGCTCTTTGGCTATGCTGTTAGGTATATGTGACTATTGTGAACCATGGTGTCCGTTTGGTCTCTCTGACTTCATTTACTCCATGGTTGATCTGCTCTAGTCCTGGCCACACCATGGCTCTGGCCCCTCAAAGCCACAGCCTCCATGAGTCCATGCCCTCCTGTGGCCTTGTTCTTGGTGTTATGCTAACTACCAACCTGCATATAGCCCTGCCCATCCAATCATAGCACCATAGGGCCCTGCTGCCTTGTGCCCATGCCCTCATCATATTCCCACCCAAGATGCCCTTTGCACTCCCCTGACCTCCAGATTCTGCCTTCCAGGGAGCTGTTAATGGCACAAGGCTCACCCAGTCTATCTAGACCATCCCAGTACCGCCCCCCCCCCCAGCTCAGGGTTGGGCTTTCCTTCTTTTACCACCATAGCTGTAATTCAGGGGCCCCTTATCAATAGCCTACTTCAACTCTCCCACTTCCATCCTGTTTCTCTTCCCATGGCCAGCTATGTGTTACATGTTATATCTTGGCTTGCATTTTTTTAAACACCTGAGACTTCTTCATCCTTAAGTAATTTCACTATGTCCCTGCTCCAGGTCTACCCAGGTGCTCCGTGCTGACTGACCCAGGAGCTGAAAGGGCCTCCCGCACCTTCTGGCACTTGTGTCACCGGGTTCTCAACCCTCTTGGGATCTCACGACTCTCCCAGGACTCTGGGTCTCTCCTGGGACTCCCCCCATCTTCCCAGGGACCTCTCTCTTCCCTTGCAGGTCCAGAGGACTCACTTGACTCCATAGCGCTTTTGGAACATGATGTTCCAAATGTTCTAAATGTTCTTTTGATGTCCACGTTGATCTGCTGGACCACCTCCGACAGCAACCTGCCCTGCACCTTAATCTGCTGTAAGGTGGGAACGGGGGGAGGTGTCACCTCCGGACACAGGACCCCCTCTGGCTCCCCAGATGTCACCAAAATCACTAAGCATTTCCTGCAGAAGGGGAATTCTTCCTGCAGGACGCTCAGGGAGGGTCCCTGGTGTGAGCTCAGGGGCCTGGGCACCTGCTGTGCCCAGCAGCCCTGGAGAGGGGACCCCAAGGACCACCCACTGCTGACGCTCAGGTGCCTGGGCTCCTCCAAGGCCCTTCCCCTCCCCTGTCCACTGCACCCCTCAGCAAACAGACTCATACCAGGCCTCCAGATGCCCCGCTATGGTGGCTGAGGCCCCGCCTTGAAGTGAGAGCAACTCCCTTTTCCAGGCCTCACCTCTACCCCTGCAGAAAAGCACCTGCCCCACTGAGGACAGTGGGGTGACCAGCAGGGCTCTGAGTATGTTCTCCTTGGATTATTCTTTCCCAAGACCTGCTCCCAGGGACAGCCCCACCCTCTGAGAGCGGTGGGAGAGTGCAGAGAGGTGTTATGACCTGAGTCCAGCTCCCTAATGCCAGACAGAAAAGGTGGCAGGTAGAAGCTGCTGCCAGCCCTCTGATGCCTCCTTGCTGCCTCCTCTGCTCCCTGGACTCTCCTGCCCTGGGACAAATGTGGGAATAGATCTAAAGCCTGGGTCCTCTCCTCCACCCAAGTCCTCAGCTCTCCTCCCAGCACCAGGGCCAGGGGCAGGTCCTTCCAGCTTGCAAACCCTCCCTGGCTGAGTCCCTTCCAGATGAGTCTTCACGCCGGCCCTAAACACACTAGGGCACCACTACCTGCTCCCCTTGGCCCTTCCGCAGGACAGCAGTACCTGAAATCCTGATCTCTAAGAGACTTGCTGGACAGCAGCCCAAGTGCCCTCCCTAATGTACATGGGGCCCCAGCTCTGGCCCAGTGCCCGCCAGGGCCTGGACTGTGACGGAGGCCTGGAACAGGTTCTGAGCCTGGGGATGCAGGTGATGCTCCAAAAGAGGTGCTTCCCTAAGCGACACATCGCCGGAGATGAGGTGATTACCAGCGACTCGCTGGATCCCCAGCAGACATGGGGATGGTTGGGTGGCCAAGTACTCCTCTTGCTGAGGCTCCAGCTGCTCCCCTTCTCTGCAAACCTGCAATCCAGAGCAGGGTCCAGGTGGTAGCCAGGGCTCTTTGGGTTGGAGGAAGACGGGTGGCCCCTCTCCCTTTTTGTGTCTCCCAAAGAGCCCGGGCACATGGGCTCAGCACACACAGCTGGAATCCCGCCCCTCCGGGCAGCCTGGCTTGTACCTGCTCATAGTTGGCAATGATTGCTGCTCGCTCCTTTACCAACAGGGATTTCAGGGCCTCCATGGCCAAGCTGCAAGGCAAACATCCCAACCTGACACAGTGACGCAGCACTGGAGAGCCACAGGGGATGCCTGCCTGGTTCCTGTCCATGTGTTCAGAGTGGGAGATGCCCACCACCCTCTGCCTCTGCCCCACCCGCTGCCCCCACCAGCCAGTAGGGCTGCACTTCATCTCCAGGACCCAGGAGAATGAATGACTCCTTCAAAGAACAGGGGCAGGCAGGGGCAGCCTAACCCTCCTCACCCAGCTTTGCGTCAGGGCACAGAGGGACGTCCCCTGCAGACATGGCTACCTGGCCTGAGGTCAGGGCCGACCACAGCTCCTGCCCAGAGAGCTGTCATCCATCACACTCACAACAAAGGGCCTCACAGGGTTACTGTGAAAGGCACCACTGTATGCAAAGATCTGCACAAAAGAGGCACCACAACTATCAACATCAGCAGCAGCAATGGCCTTGAGAAGCCAGGACCACCCACCGGCGCGTGTCCATGTCAGCAGGGCCGGAAGAGAGTCCCAGTCTGCCCACCTCTACCTTAGCTCCTGCTAAGAAAACAGGGCCAGTGTCCTGACTGTTCTAGAACATGGAGGAGGGGTGCTTGGCAATGGTAACGTCATGAGTGCTGTAAGCCCTGTCACAATGGACCCTCCTGGGCCCGCAGGACCAGAGTCAGGTTCCTCAACCCCTGACCCCATGGACAGGTTCTGTGCTCTGCCCAGGAACCATGTGAGGAGGGCAGGCAGGACCGTATGAGGTGTGCCGTGGACCCAGGTGTGCCAGCACTGTCTGCCACCTGTGGGCCTTGGTCCAAGTTCCCGAACCCCTTTCCTCTTCTTCCTATTCCTCCTCTGTCAATAGATTTGATAACAACTTGGTAAATCAATCATTTTGAATTAAAGTTCATAAAGAGTCCAACACCCCCTGGCCCCAGCTTCCTGAGGTTCCCACACTCTGACCACCAAGCAATGACAGAACTGGAGACTCCCATGGGCACAACCTATGGCCCCACCACAGGTCTCTGCTGGCCTCAGGATGTCCCCTTCAGCCACATCCTGCCCTCCTCCTCCCTCACGTCATTGGCATTGGACACCAGGAAGTCCTCCTCATCCCCACCTGTGCTGTCTGCCCAGAGCAGTGGCAATGAAGAAGGAGAGAGTCAGGACTCATCTGTCACTAACCCCCTTCCCATTCCCGAGGGTCCAGGATGCCCCCTCTGCTGCCCCCTCATCCCTGGCCCTGGCCGTGGTAGCCCCAGCCCCATTCCCACAGGAAATTCACGCGTATGATGGTGCATCCTTGAAAGGTGCCATTTCTCAGCGTTCTCCTTGCTCCGCCCTGAGAACCAGCCTCTGCAGGTCTGCGACCAGGAGCAGGGGGGCCTCCAGCGTGGAGGGCCATTTTGAAAGACGGACTCCAGTGAGACGGTTTTAAAGTTTCTCTTGTTCTGTTGAGGAGTTTGCTGTAATAAAATTTCTCTGAAGATGCAGAAAAGCTGTGGATGAGCCCGATTTCACACATCCACGTGATGGAAGGGAACACAGAAGGTATCACCTTTGCTCTCGTTTCGCTGATGAGGAAAACAAAGCACAGCCAGGCCCAGCGCTGGCCCAGTACTGCACACAGCAGGGATGGCAAAGCAAGCACACAGGCAAGGGCAGGGCACACTGCCCCTTCTCCCACAGCTACAGCCCTGAGGCCCTGGCTGCCATCTGGAGGAAGCAGACAGGTGGGTGGATGGAAGGATGGAGATAGGAAGACACAGAGATGGACAAATAAATGACAGGAAGGTACAAATGTAAGTACCCCAGTGGGCAACTGTAAGAAAACCTGGTTGGCAATAATTTTAACTATTTTTTTCAAGTGGAAAAAAAGGAAAAATGGCTTCTGACAGATAATTTTTGGACCTGTCAAAGCCTTGCAAAAGTGAAAAGATTACTGGAAATTACTTTCTGGAAATATCAAACTGCACCCAAACATAAAATACCAGGCCAGATTATAACACAGCCCATTCAGTAAGCTTTATACTTAGCACAACAGGAACGCTGGTGTGTTTGGCTGGCGCATGTGTATCCTTTGAAAAGTTAAATGAGATCCATTTAGAAGTAGGTCACATTCCATAGGACAGGTAATTGTGTGCCAAATACATCTTCCCAGTAAATCCACAGGTTTTTCTGCTATTCCTCTGTCAACCAAATGAATACAATTTCCATCATTGCTGGCAATATAGCCAGTGTTCCAGCAAGGTGTAGCTGGTGGTTATTTAATGGAATCCAGGAAAGCACCCTTTGAAACACATGGTTTCTTTCAATACTTTCTGCATGGCTTCATCTCCAAGGAGTAAGGAAAGCAGTCGATCTGAAGCCATTCTGAGCTCAGTTCTGTCTCGTCAGCATCCATCTTCTGTTGAACAATCTGTGGTACTACTAGACCTGCTTAAACCAGCTGTAGTTTAATGGCATCTTCTTATGCCAACAGAGCAAGAACTTCAAAAGCTTCTCCTTCTTATTATGGTCTGTTTGTTTCTTAATGAGTTTTACCAGCTCTTCAGCCAGGGTTGTGCTAGCAAAGCATACCTAACTCAAGTTCTGCTGGATTTCTGAATGCAATTAGACAGGTTCCCCTGTAAGAGCTGCATTTTGGCCCTGGATTCCAGTAATGACACTAATGCCGCTCCCTTGCCCGCAAAGGAACGACACTGTTCGCAGCTTATTGGTCTTCAGCAGACTTTTAATGGGAAAATAACAGTGACAGAGAAAGAATGAAGGGAGGAGAGTGGACGGAAAAGCCCCCTCCTTCCTCAGCACACAGCTTATATGCAAAATCTGGCCAATTGCAAGCGGGCTCAAGTCCATGCACGGAACACTCCAATCCGCTGTCTGTTCACGCAGTGTGCACACGTCCTTGGGCCAATCAGATGAGGTGTCACGCAGCAGGCAGGCTCACCGCGCGCGGTCCTCGGTGCCATCTTGTTGTTTACAACATTCTCAACTCCTCTGGAAAGTCCCGACCGTGGGAAAGCATTGCCCTAACCGAAACTAGCAACATCCGCCTTGTGATAAAGACACAGCAACAGCTATCAGACAGACCTTGACGTGGGGGCTCCATGGCTGCGCATCCCATGGAGCCCCACATCTCCCCCTTCTTTATTATTTAAATGGCATGGAAACGTGCCTGTCTTAGGTACCCAATGGCGTGCTACCTGCTTACCCGTCATGGAGGTAATAGGAAGCCTGTCCTACCCTCTGTCTTAGGTTGCTAGGAGGGCCCATCAGTGTTTACCCATCTTTGATTACTGCTCCATCATGCTAAGCCATACTTTTTTATTGGGGTGCGATTGCAAGGTGGCCAGTATAGCCTGTTGGATTATCAAGTTGGTATTCTGCTGACGGAGTGCTAAGGCTCTAATCCATCTGGCGATGAAGGCAAGGCCCAGTAGTACCATGATAAACAAGCAACCGATAGCGACCCATTCTTTAACTTGAGCCCTGTCTTAGGTAGGTACAGGATGTGGAGTGTCTTACCCGTTTTTGAATACCATTTTAGCCCAACATTAGGTGAGAGGTGAAACATACAGCCAAATATTAATTATTTTTGATTACAAAGGAGGTTTGGTACGAAGTTTTAAGTGATGAATGTCAGTCCATACAGATTGTAGCAAAGTTAGCACAAATTGCAGAACACACGGAAAATATCCCATACAAAGTATGAAAAGCAGTAACAATCCAGCCCGCATTAATAACCAATGAATCCATTGAAACCCTCCAAATGAATAGTGGGTTAGCAATAAATATATGTTGCATTTTACTCTTTTAAGTTTATCAATAACAGACTCTATATATGGCACATTGTTAGTAATGTTAAAACAACATTCCCCTGGAACAGATTTACAGCTTATATGATCTTTTAACAGCAAATAATCGATAGCTGCTCGGTTTAGGAGTACTCCTGAACGAACTTGATCCAATTCTTCAGCTATATTGGATAGCGAAGTAGCAGTAAGATTGATTGTTTTGGTCACCAAACGTGTAAGCCTTCGTAGTCCACAATTATTTCCATAAGCCAATCCAGGAACTCCCACTAGCTGTATAGCCATGGTAAAGGCAGGTCTCCAATTAAGATGACATCATCATCACAGTTCTCAGGTAATGAGCATCGCTGTCGTGCCTTTGGAAATACAGATGTTAGTATCGGGGCCACACAGCCCAATGAGCAGTTGTGAAAATCATTAGGGGCTAACAATATAAAAGCAAATTGGTTGCATAAAAATACCCATCCCTTAAGAGCCCATGTCCCATACCAGTACCGGATCAGGTACATTCCATTGATTGGTGATAGGATCCTTCCATTTTACCATTGTTCTTACCCCAGCTGTTTGTGGATGCCACTGTTGATCAGCTGCAAAACGACCATCTTTATCCAATGTGAAAAAATTTAAAATGAATAAAACACGTGAGAGCCATTTGTTAGGAGAATGGGCAAGAACCCTAAACTCCCCCTTTTGTTTATATCATTAAAATATTGTTTTAAAGTGTGATGTGTACATATAATAATGGCTTGACCCTGAGGATTATAAGGAATGTCAGTAACATGAGATAGAAAGTTACGCAAAAATTTCTAAAAGAGGCAGAAATATAAGCAGGTCCATTATCCCTTTTAATCTGTTTTGGAGTTCCTAGGGAAGCAAAAGCTTGTAAGCAACGGGCAATAAAATGTCTTGTAGCTTTACCTGTATGTAAGGAAGCAAAAACAAATTTAGAACAAGTATCAATAGACATATGTATATATTTTTGTTTACCAAATTTCATGAAGTGGGTGATATCCATTTGCCATAGTTGATTGGGGGAATAAATCACGAGGATTAATTCGAAAGTGAGGTACTGGTAACTGGATGGAGCAAGTAGAACAGAATTTTACAATTTGGCGAGCTTGTTCTTGAGTAACATTATCTATTAAGCGTAACGTATGAGCATTTAAATGATGTAAAACGTGATCTTTTGTTGCTGTATCAATAGAGTATATGCATAGAGCAGAATCTGGCAAACGATTGCCCTCTACAAAAGGTCCAGGAAGATTGGAATGTGCTCGAATATGACCTATAAAGAAAGGGCAGGTATGCTGTTGAATGACAGTGCAAATGCGAGAAAACAAAGGAGAAGCAGCTGAGGATTCAGGAAGGAATGAACAAGTGTCCAATTGAGGCACTGATAGGAACACATATTTGCTATTGGTGTATATGTTAACCACTACATCCAAAGTAGACTGCAATGTAAGTGTAAGAGCAGCTAATTCAACTAGCTGTAGAGATGAAAAAGAGGTGTTAATAACCATACGGTGACCATCACAAATTACAGAAGTTTGACCTCCTTTTAGGATATTGAATAAAGGTTTAAGGCCAATTAATATTTTCTAGAAGTTTTTGAAACTAATTTAAAGTCTGTAAAGAATCCAATTGTAAGGTGACTTTTTGTGGAAGTATTTTTCATGGGTACAATTGGAAGCCTAGATATTGATAAGGATATTGAAGTTGCATTTTCTCAGGGGCTATGATAAGACCAAAAGCAGATAATTGTTCTCTTATTACTGTCAGACAGTGTATTACCAAAAATTTCTCGGGTCCAGCTATCAAAATATCATTTATATAGTGTATAATATATAAATTGCTATATTTTTGCAAATTTTTTGAAGAGCAGCATCAATGAATTATTGGCACAAAGTAGGGCTATTAGCCACTTTTTGAGGTACGATCCTTCATAGGCATCTTTGCATAGGTTCTTTAAA